AAGGCGCCTGCGGCAGATGGCCCACGCAAGTGAGCCAAGCTGCATGCTCCATGCAAGGCCACTGAGGTGGAGGGGGGGAATCTCACCCTGTCCCCCGGATGGGACCCCCGCGCAGGCCCAGGTCAAGCGTGGTCCTTTGAACTTGCCGCAGCACGTCCTGAGGATGATGACAAAGGCGATGATGAAGATGCTGCTGCTGCTGATGGTGATGATGCTGCTGATGATGGTGATGATGCTGCTGATGATGGTGATGATGTATTGGACCACATCAATCAATAAAATGGTGACTGCAAGGGAACAAACACATGTCAGCCCGGACTGGCGGCAGTCCTCCAGGCCAGGCAAAGAGACCCTCTGAGTAGCGCTGTGTCGGGGTTCTCGCACGGTCAGCAGGCCCCTTCCATCCGGCCAGAGCCTCAGAGGACCCCCCCCCGCAACAGCCCCGCACAGCTGCCCCTAAAATGGCCCCCGCACCAGGAACCGCGTCCTCCCCCTCCGGACACAGGCCTCTCCTGCCCCCTTGCCCAGCCACACACAGGATCCGACGGACCACCGTGGCCTAAGGTTAAACCGCCAACCGCCGCCTGCCTACATTCCCAGCCGTGCAGAGGATCGGACGCTCCCCGGGAGCGACGCCCGGAAGCGCCCCGTGGCCCGCACACCGCTGCTCTGCGCCCTGCGCTCGGGCGACGCGCTGCGCCCGCCGCTGCCGCCCCAGCCACGCCCCCTGCCCGCCCCCGACTGCCGATTGGCCGAGCAGAAGCCATTCGCCCAATGGGGGCGCTGGGGGAGAACCACCGCAAGGGGGCAGCCGCTCACGGAACTACTGCCTGCAGCGCCGACAGGAAAGCAAGGCGAGCGAGTGCGTCGGTGCCATGAACCGACGGCAGGCAATAGCGTCGCAGAAGCTGCTCGTGGTACCCATCAACCGCCCTCTGCTAGCATTCCCTGCTACTGAGAAGATCGGACACTTACAGGCAGCGACGCCCAGCAGGAGCGCAGCAAGGAAGTTCACCGTCGCCCTCATCCCGCTGCTCTGAGGCCGGCAGGCGCACTGCGCCCGCTATTCAACCCCCCCGGCCACGCCCCCTCCCCGCCTCCGACCGCCGCTTGGCCGAGG